TAAGAGCACTATTTTAAACTTTGAATCATTTGTACCATCTCCTAATTTAAATACTTCCAGGTGATGACAACTAAATGACCTGCCAAGCAGTGAGTGCCCCCTGTGTGAAGCTGTCTGTCCAAACAGCACAAGTGTTAGACAACCTGTCTTGTCCTTCAACCAGTCCTTAATGATCCACAGTCCCAGAGCGCTTGAAGCTGTGAGGTCGTCCAAAATGTAATTGAAGGTCTTGGTCTTTTTATGGATAGCCTGTGGCACTCTGCCCTTTCTGATACCTCTGTTCCTGTTTTCACTTTTTCTAAGTTACCTTGACAGTGAGAGTAAGTTTAAACACAGTTTTTCACTCTATCAGTAGATTTTCCTTGTCAGCTGAGGATTTTAAATGTGATGCTTAAGTGTCATAATTCATAAAATCTCTCCTGGTTTCAGTCTGTATTGTTGACGGTCAATTCAGGAACAACACTGAACTTGAAGTTATATTTGGAAATCAAGGACACATATTCTGGAGGAAAAGTAGTGGGGCCCAAAACTTATTCTGGATGTAATGGTAGTAAGTGTCATTTTTATAAAAAATGAAAACAGAAAATTTAAGAGCACTTAATTTCATTTAATTATCCATCAGGATTTAGCACCTGCCAACACGGATTAAAGAATCAACACCTGATTTAATAAACATCACGTTATTGTGCCTGATTGGACAACAACCTGGCTAAACCTAAACCTCTGGGGTTTTGTCAAATGGAAGATGAGAGACCAGACCCAACCATGCACAAGGGATAAAAGCTACTTATAAAGCAATCTGGGTTGTGCCAGAAGCTGATCACCTCCCCTCTATGCAAACTGATTCATGCAAAGAAGCTTCAACCTAAGATTGAGTCTATTTACTCTACAGTACCTGAAAATACTGTGAAAATTGCGTCTTAAATACCAGTATCTACAGCAGAAATACCAACATTAAAATATTTCTAGTGGTGTTTTGCTGTATTCTAACTTTCTGGGAGAAAGAATGTTGAATTTGCATCAGCCATAATCCATAATTTTCAAAATAAACTGTTAAAAATATGTTTGACATATATTCCAACTGTGCATAGTGAATCAAAACAATGTATCAGTTGCTCTATTTGAACTGAAATATTGAAAAAAAAAAATTTCATAACATTGCCATGATTGATATTCACCTAAAGCAGTAGAAGACCCGGCATAGTAGCTTCTATCATTAGTTGTTTTGTGACACCAACTGATACATTTACTCTAATCGTGTTTTAAGAAAAACATAAAAAAAAATAACAAAAATGTTTGTTATTTCAGCCTTTATTACAGCAACGTTTTTAGCAGATCAACACCAGATGAAAAAGAATGTATGCATGATTTGAAATAAAGCATCAGAGGGCTGGTCTCTTCTAGGCAGAGTTGTTTACTTCCTGAATTCATGAATCAGCGTTCTAGTCATTGACCTAGATTGCAACAAATCCTCAGAAGCAAAAAGGTGGAGTGCACTCATGACCAAGAGTGCTTTTTAAAATCTCACAGGGATCATAGACAAGAACTTTACACCCTTTACATTTTGTTGGTCAGCACAGCTGCATCTGACATGTTCTGACCTAACTTGTATTTGTTTTTTTTTTCACCTAAAGTTCAGAGTGACAAACTGCATGCAGTATCTACATTAAAAATCATCATACATTTCTTTAATTAGTTGCAGGGTTGAATTGGCAGCAAAGAGACTTGAAATGTAAAACATTTTGGTCTATTTCATACATCATGTCAGATGATTTAAGCTTAGATATCAACTGGATACCTTTACTATTTGGTGTATTGCAAAATCAACCTTTCCCTTGTTTGAAGTGGGGCACCATAATATTCTGAAGCTTGATTGCAGCATCCTGATGAGTACTTCTGATATCTTATTTGACACAGCCCTTGAAATTCGGCCTACCAGTTCAGTTTTTGGCTCGTCAGATCAGAAAATCGTTTTCCTCAGGCACTGAGTCCTTCAAATGCATTTTGCCAGACGCCAAGTGGGCTGTCATTTGTCTTTTTACTCTGTGATTTCCACTGAACTGCTCTTCCATGAAAGCCTGACTGATGACTGCAGTGCTTTTGACAAGTCCTCCAGTCTCTGCTGAGTACTTTTAAAGATCTTAAGAAAATATTTTAGGGCACTGGCCATTTCCCTCATTATAATATACACTGACCCACTCTAACTACAGTCATAAAAAATCTTGTTTATAATGCAACACAGTTGGAAAACACCAAAGATGTTTGTTGTTTTTTATGATTAAGAGAAGGCTCCAATTCATTATTTAGTTTCCTGCTATGATAATGTAATTAGTTACAGATGTTTTTCTCTGTAAGGATGTATTTCTCTAACACTTTGGCTGTCGGCAGGTAGGAAGAAAAAGAATTATTACCCGCTCTTTCTTCAGTCATTTGGTTAACATACGGGCTCAGTATGAACTGCATGAGAGGCTGTTGCCACCAGGATCAAAATCACCAGATGGGCTAAAGGGGTGCATTGAACATCCATTTATCTCTCACTGAAGTCTTGACACAGCATCCAAAGATGTAATCTGACTTAGAGAAAGCAGTTTATCAGTTTTGAGCTGATTTCTCAGAGTACAGGTGAACTGAAAGACAAATCTGTTGAGTGTTCGCAAAATATCAGTTCATCCACAACTGAAAAAAATAATTAATTTATTTACACTAAAAACAAGAATGATAGTCAAGGTTGTTATCTGTAAAGAGTGCAAAAGCCACCTTAAAGACGTCATCATTATGGAAAAAAAATTCTGCTTCAGGAACAAAAATCAGGCATCAATTTTACACACGTAGTATCGGGTGGCAGAATTAATGATGATGGAGAACAACATTTTTCCTTCTCTGCAAAGTTGAAGGTCTGGCTTTGGTGAGCCCATTCAGAAGGCTCAATGTAGAAATTCCTGTCTACATTGAGCCTACATTGAGAAATCAAAAGACCAGTTTTGATTTTGTTTTGGGTAATGTTTTGGAGATAAAACACAAACAAAAATTTTATTGAGATTTTATTTATACAAGGGAACCTGTATATAAAATTTTAATCTGTGTTGGTAGGAGATCATCTCGGATACATTTCTACTTATGCACTTAATTCTACTTTTAGCAAATTACAACTTAAAGTTTTGTTGCATGTTACAATTCCAGTTATTGCAGAATACAGATTTGCATTAATAAAATAATAAAAAAGGCAGTTCACAACTAAAAAAACAAAAACAAAAACAAAACATGAATTTGACAGTAGATGAAGCAGGCACATGAAAAACAAACAAAAAAATGACAAATTGGTAATAATGAATCATAGATGCTGAGATCCATACACTTCTGCACTGCATGATTTGGAGCTTTTTTCATGTTCGATTTAGAGTTTATTTTTATTAATTATATACTAAAAGTTTGGCTTAAAATGTCTGTAAGCAAGAATGTAATTTATTCATTTATAGACACTATAACATTTATTTAAGGTTGTGTATTGTTCTACAAGGGAAAGACGTCAATATGTCAAAGTATACCTTCTCATTTCATTCAGTCATTCATTCATTTTCCCCAATGAGCCATTGATATTACATTATGTAATCATTCCTTACTTGTTTCCAGTCAGACCAGCAGCAATTCATCTGTTACAGTCCACCATGTTTCAATAACATTGAGCAATGTAATGAAGTGAGCCCGAGCAGTAATATAGCTATGGGGGATGAGTTAAGCTCTGACAACTGTTCACAGAACAGTGCTGCCTGAAGAGACAAGGGTGATAAGGTGGCAAAGATTGGATCATGTACTGAAAAACATCAGAGATAATGTTGCTGGTGACTGTAAAACATCCAATCACATTTGCTAAGACGTCTGCAGATGTTCACTTGTCGACTGCAGAGCTGCAGGCTACTGACAGTCATACATGATTAATGTAGTCATTCATTACAGAGGCAACTAATGAGAAAATTTAAAACTTTTCCTTTGGGTGACCTTACTCTCACACCTAAGGCTGCAGTTCTTTGATGTAGCTGCTGCATGAGAATAGTTGAAGACCTTTGCAACTAAATATACAAAAAAAAAAAAAAGAATGCTATGATCATATGAGGGAAATATAGTGAACTGAAACATCTCAGTAGAGTGTCTTGCAAAGCTGATAGTGTCTAGAATCCATCACACTCTGTCACAAGCCTTCCAACACAGTGGGGGGCCCGAGGTGTGGGAGTGTCGGGGGTTGCTTACTGGAGACAACAACTGAGGAGATTCTGTCTATTTCTGGTTTCCCCTCTAAGAAGTCCAGATCTGCATGTATGACAATTTTGCATCATTTTCAGACAATCTCTTTGTCTGAGATATTGTCAGCGATATTGGCTCATAATCCAGAAGTTTCAGTTATCAAACACTAAAATGAAAAAAAAAAAGTTAATTAGGCCAGCATATTTTTCAAGCCACCCAATTAATATGCCGATGTACCTACATGGATCAAATGTCGAAAGTAAAATAACAAAGGCTAATAACAGAACAGCTGGTACCACTGCTGCCTTGCAGATTTGAAACTGGACTTCGTAGGATCAAGTTTGCATGTTCTCTTTTGGAACTAGGAGAAAATTGTGTGTTTGTGTGTTTCCCCCATGAAAGGCTGGCAACTTGTCACCACTAGAGGAACACCCTGGTGAACCCTGGTCACTGTCCAAATTGCCTTTCTACCTCTATCAGCGACTGAGGGGCAAGGGAGCTAAAACTTCACCAAAGTAAGAAATTATATCCCGTTTTTACTCACAATAATAAGATATAATATTTATATTTGATTGTAAAATTGAAAAAGTTTATTTAAAAAATAATTTCTGTGCAGCAGAAGAAGCAGCTTGAAGCACGGTGACTTATTACTTCATAGTTTCCGCCCCTCTTCGGATAGACCCTTCTGCCTCTTCACTTGCTGTCCTGTCCCACTTTCCAAGATCAAATACACACTCATTGTTCCCCACACAAACGCGCGCACACAGGGACCAGACGCGATCGCTGTCCGCCTGCCGCGTGTGCAGCGCTCTTTTTCTCCTCCCGCGTCATACAAGAAGACCTGCTTGATTTTTACCGAGGGTATAGAGTGGATTTGTGGGAATTTTCAAGTTTTAAAAAGTGCTTATTTGCAGGATTTCCTCCGCGTTCTTTGCGAACACTGTGGTGACAAATGGATGAATGAAGGTGGAAAAGTGAGGATTAATTTGCCGAAGTAGTACACGGATGGATTGAAATCGTCATTTGATGTACAAAATGAATAATTCCTTACAATAATTTATGCCTCCGGACCAGAAAAGTTTAAGGTATGAGTTTTTTTTAATCTCTTTGGATTCATACATATTCTAAAACAATATATTTGAAAGATTTGAACAAAAGTCTCAGTTATGTGTTCAGTTTACGTTGAAGTGGTGTAAATTTCAGCGTTTGTGCGTGATTGGAAGTTTCTGACTTCTTGTGTCTCATTCTCCTTCTGTAAGTGACTGACATTAAAATGAACTATGTCTAGAATCATGAATTCATTTGTCAAAGTCCAAAACTCCAACATATGATTGAACTGGAAAAAAAAAATCTCAGATGATTTATTACAGATTTATTACTGAGCTTGCTCGTGTACAGTTTGTGACTTTAATCTGTCATAACTAATCCTGGACCTTGTGAAGGGCCGTATTCAGGAGGGGGAGCAGTCGTGGGCTGCAGCCAGTTTTACTGTGCCCCACAGACACGTTTCTTTTCTTAATGCAACATATATCTGAATTATTATAGTTATTTATATCATAAATAATAATTCAGGTAAGTAAACTTGAATTTCCATTTTCTTACCTTAAAAATATTCTTCCCACCTTCAGCCTTCTAAGATAAACTGATGAGAACAATAAAATCAACAAATGTTTGATTGAACTAGATGTTTACAAATTATTTACATTTAAATCTGAGATGTTGAAGCATTATCTCATTGGTCTGACAAGTTTTCTTTGCAAACTCTGCTGTGTAAAATTCCATCCATCTATCTGTCTGTCTGTCACCTCCTCTTTTCTGAGGTGAGGTAGCTAAACAGAATGACCCAAACTCCCCCTCCCAGCCAATTAGGCCAGCTCTTCCAGTGAAATCCCAGGCCAACCGAGAAACGTAGTCCCTCCAGCGTGTACTGAGTCTTCCTCTGGGTCTCCTCCTGGTGGGTCGTGCCCAGAACATCTCACCAGTTAGATATCCTGGAGGCATCCCTACCAGATGTTCAGGCCACCTTAACTGGCTCTACTCGATGTGGGAGAGCGGTGGCCCTCCCTGTTGACTTTACCCTCTTCTCATCCTGTCTGGAAAAGAGAGTCCAGGCACTTTTCTGACAAAACTCTTTTTGGTCAATTGTATCCGTTCTCTTGTTCCATTTGGTCACCACCCAAAGCTCATGACCAGCATTTAGGGATTAAATGTATATTGACACAAAGATTGAAAACTTCTCCTTCAAATGAAATTTATTTTTTAAATAAATTACATTATTGCAAGTTAACGTTCCTTGTAACTTCCTATGTAAATCTCACCCAGACTCTAAATGTTAAAGGGGTACGGTGTAATAGAGGGCAGATGAAAGATTAAGAGTTTCTTAATATTTAAAAGTTTACGTTTCTACTCATGGCATTTATTGTATTGTAAATGTACATCTGTTAATATTTTCCCAGTTATCATATTTCACTTTTAATACACCAACTGCCATGTTTAGTTTAAGCTTTTATTTTATATTTGTGATAATCAGTATAATGTGTGATGCACAGCCAAAAAAAATCACTTTTTGATTTTTTATTATTGTAAAGTGTTGAACTTTTAAATGTGTGTGTGTGTGTGTGTGTGTGTGTGTGTGTGTGTGTGTGTGTGTGTGTGTGTGTGTGTGTGTGTGTGTGTGTGTGTGTGTTTAGAACACGATTCCCATCTCAACTGCAGGTTGTGTTGCACTTGTCTGTCTACATTACATTTGACATCCTATTTCATGTTGGCGGTGATAATCTCACTTTAGCTTCTCTCCCTGTGGGTGAAGATGCATCAGACTGGGTCTGCACTACTGGCTTTGTTGGCACTTCTGGTGCTCACACTTGAGATGTCCAGCGGCCAGTCCTGCCCCAGAAGCTGTAACTGCTACCAGGCCAATGAAGTTCACTGCACCTTCCGATCACTGCTCATCATTCCACCTGGCCTGCCTGCGCATACAAAACGGATTAATTTAGGGTATGTAAAATCACAGTTTAGTTTTTAATTATTAGAATTCTCTCTAACACAGGGGTGATATTCTGATGCAGTAAAATACAGTGTAGTTTATTTCAAACTGTAATGCAAAATATAAAATTGTTCTTTTAGTAGTCGTAAGATGTGCGTAACACATGCCAAGATAAGTAGTTCCTATTTAAGAGTGAAAAGCAGTGAATGCTGCTAGTTAGTGACTCAATCTGGAGGGTTTCCTTACATAGAGAACTTTTGAACCAATTTGGATAATTAATTAAGTTCAGTGTACTATCTGATATCTAGAATAAAGTGGCATGTATGTGTGATGGAACTTACTTTTTTGTAAAGTTCCTTGAGATGACATTTGTTGTCAATTGGCATGATATACATAAACTGAACTGAACTGAATTTAGTTTGTACTGCAATAGAATTTGAAAAAGGTCTCATAACCAGAGACAACTCTTGAGGGATTTCTTCACTTTTTGCTTGCAATGAGACTTTCCTGGACAAAGGAATTCTTGAGCTAAAATTTTCTAATATTTTAAAAGGTATTTCAAAGGGTTATTTTAGACTGAATAGCAAAAACATATTGTTGGCAAGCAGACTCTATTTGCCGGATGCAAGAAACAGTATAATTATAGGAAGATGTTTTCTCTTCAGCATACCTTCAGTCTACTCTGGATCTGCCCTAAGGAACACTGACTCCTTTTAAATGCAGACTATTTAATTGTTAGAGGTTAGAATAACTCCACAAGCCTGCAGGCTATCTTGTTCAGTGATTTAATTGTTGCATTTCCCTTGGCAAAATGACTTCAGGGGAGATGTGAGGATAAGAGTCATACAAGACTTTCAGTGAAACAAGATTAGGGAGACCATGGTCGAGGGTTTTTTGCAATTGGTTGAGAGTTGGATCAACTTGTTGTAAGGATGCACCACACTGTGCCTTATTGACAGGTGTGTGGTGGCTGCCCTGAGGAAGAGGCTTGGGACTAAATAGCAAATCAAATTTGCTATCATCTACTCAGATTGTGGAAATTTAAGGAATTTGTTATAAGAAAGGTGTGCAATCAGGACTCTTGACAATGAAGTTGAGAGTCCACAGACAGTGTGAACAGAATCAGCAGAATACTCCCAAGGATACATGTGCCTCAGTATATCAATAATGCATTTTTGCTTTTGCAGGTTTAATAGTATCAGCAGACTTCATGACAAATCTCTGGTTGGGTTAAGGAAAGTAGAGCTCCTGATGCTCCACAGCAATAACCTCCAACATCTTCCAGATGGAGTGTTTAAAGAGATGAAATCGCTCCAGGTAATGTTACAAGATACAGTAACAAATGGTACCCAAAGAAGCAGCCAATGTGAATAATCAAATTGCACCTATGAAGGTGCAATTTGGCTAAACACTGACTGGATAATGACACTGAACTTAGGAGAAACAGAAGGAGGAACTCAATCATTCATAAAAGAAATCTGTGTCAATTTCTTTTTTTTTATTTGCTGGAAGTTAAACTCTCGAAACTCTATTTGCACTCCTTCATTGATCTCTGACTGTGACAGAGCAACACAAACTCCTTCTCACAAAGGATCTTATCATTTTATAACTTGAATAAGGAAAGGGTTAACAATATTTGAGATGTTTGTCAAAAGGCTGCAACAGTCCACAAGATTCCATTTTTCCTATCTCCATTTATTTCTAATTTCTTTCAAACTAATGCAGAATTTATGTATCATGATTCCTTGCCTTTTCAGTGACAAGAAACATGCTGGACACTTTAGCAGCAACCTTAGGGCAGCATTTGGAGCCCTTGGGGGAACTGATATTACACAGGCAATTGTACCCTTCATCTTCGAGACAGATGCTGATATATTTTCCTTACTGGGATAATAGGACCCATATTTCCATGTGCTGACATTGGCACGTGCTAAATTTGTCAGCAGCTGGAAATGTTCCAGCTAAGTAGCTTCCCTGGAGGGCAGAGGAACAACAACAACAACAACAACAACAATAATAATAATAATAATAATAATAATAATAATAATAATAATAATAATAATAATAATAATAATAAAGTGGGGTAAATTCTTCATATGTGTACTAAATTTTAATAGATTTCCTACAGTATGATATTCTGGATCAAAAGCTTAACTTCATTGGAGCAATGCACCCCACCAGAGTAAAAATAATCCTTTTAGTTCTCCCTGCTTCTGTCCTATGTCCATTGCATATTGTGTGCTGTGGAATGTTTTCTATATTTAAACTGGGAAATGGAGAGCTGTAAGAAATACCTTATGTTATAAAATTTTCATAAATTCCAAGAAGAGATATTATTCAAATCCTTATGCTGTTTCACAATTGTTCTAAATTCAATTTCCAAGGAAGTGGCTGCCACTAAAACACTTATGATCCCTTTTTCAACCAGCCTTGATGTCTGTTTTTCTAATTTGCACTCCTCACTTCACCCCTTCCCCCCCCCTCCCATTGCAGATACTCAAGTTGAGCTATAACAAGCTGAGAGAGATCCCTTCATCTCTGACCTTCTCTGGCCTGACATCACTGCTGCGTCTTTACTTGGATCACAACCTGCTCCAACACATCCACCCCCGGGCTCTGCTCCAGCTGCCTAGCCTCAGGCTGCTTCGTCTGCAAGGCAACAGGCTGCATCAGCTGCACCCTCACGCTCTGTGCACGCTGTCCGTTCTGAATACATATTATTTTTCTACTTTGAGGTGAGATTTGACAACAAAAATGTGTACAACAGTTCACAGCCCTGGCGGTGCTTGAGGCAATTCCTCATCAATTACATGAAAAACTGTGAACATTTGCATGCTGGGTTTTATTTGCACAAACAAATAAAAGAAGGAATATGCACAGAAAGTTAATGATTATGGAGACTTAACTAATGTGTTCTTTGACAATGTTTGAGCCAGTGTCTTTTGTTTTCAGACATCTAGACCTTTCCAACAACAGTCTAACTATCCTGCCTGAAAAGAGTGTGACAATGGCACCTCTGCTGGAGACTCTGGTCCTGCAGGCTAATCCTTGGAGCTGTGACTGTAGGATGAATTGGTTTCTCTCATGGAGTCTTGCTCACCCAGGTGACTGCTAAGTCTAGAAAAAAAAATATTTTCTTTCTGTGTGCTTTGTCTTGTCTACAGTTTTATTGTATGCTATTTAGTGCTGTATCTTTAAGAAGACAAACTGTAGATTAGAAAATTGAATGAGAAAATCAAGAAGGCTTTTATGACTGGCTAAAAATTTGTGACCAATCCATTAGATGTGGGTAAACCTACTTTTTGACAGATCTAATTTACACAGATGATCTTGACCATCGTTTTGTCATACATACCTTCTTGTTTGGCTCTATCTTATTTTTCCAGTCTGTCTTGTTGGCTTTATTAAAATGTGAAAGAAAGCTGAACCATGAAATGTATGCCACTGATATACCAGGCTTAACCTGCCATGACTAATACATGATGACAGCGCTGATATGTGGCAGCTGATATATAGGGTAATGATTGTGCTGTGATTAAAAAGTGATGCATTGTGATTTGCGAGATGAAACAACCACAGTAAATTAGCAAGAGACAAAAACGGGTAATGAATGCTTGAAATAAACTGGTGTGACTAATCAATGACTTAATTTTCAAAAAGATATGTGTAAATTACTAAAGCATCACATTTCATTATATTTAAATACAATGATAACAAAATAATATTTCTATTAATATGAGAGATTTGCTATGACAACATTCTCTCTTTCTTTCTCTCTCTTGCTCTCTTTCACTCTCTATATCTGTCATTAGGCTTATTAAAATGTCCTGGTGGTCCTCAGTGTCCAGTTTGTGCCTCACCCCTGTCTCTCCAGGGCCAGAATTTACTTGATCAGACGACTCTACATTGCTCGTCACCGATCATCAGCTTCCCTGGAAAAGAAACACCATCGGAATCAGACTATAGCAAAATCCAATCAAGTGAGAAGTTCAGAGAGCCTTTAGGCAATGTCACCCTGGGTCTTTCTGACCAACAAGGGTACAACGTTGATCTGAGTTGTAAAATCACTCACTCTACCGATTCCCCTGACATTGCTCCTCCTCCAGATCTCTCCTGGAGTTACTCTTCTCCTCTCCCGCTTGCTTTGTCTCTCTCTCTTGACTGCCCTGTTCTGGGACAAAGCTATGAGAAACTTTGGAGGATCTTGGCTTACTACAGTGAAACTGCAGCTCGCCTTGAGAGGGGGATCATGTTAAGTAAAGCTCCAGCTTTGGCCTACCGCTACAGACAGGAACCAGAGACAGATGGATATTATCACACTGGAATCAAAGCCTCTGTCAAAGCCAAACCAGAATGGTTACTACAATCAGCAATTAGTATTCAGCTTAACAGAGCACAGTCTAACAGGTACGAAGTCCAACTTATCTACTCAACAAGAGTTTCTGCTCATCCTGATCCAAGTTTTGATCCTTCACTATCTTCCCCTACTTCTCACCCATGGGTAATGATTTCAACTAATCACACTTACACAGCAGTTACAGCAGTAGGAGTAGCAGGTAGGAGCATACAGCTATCTTGTCCTGTTCTTAGTTCTAGTAATCACAGTGTGGAATGGATTCTTCCAGATGGATCTAAGCTCAATATTTCTTCCAGCAGCTTAGATGGAAGGTTCCAACTATCAGCCTCAGGCCTACTAATACAAAGAGCACAGCTCTCTGATGGAGGGCTTTACCATTGTGTTGCCAGAGCTGGAAGAGATTTTGATGTCCTTCAATTACGTCTGGTAGTACAAGAGTCTGCCTTTCCATATCCAGGTGAGCTAAGTGGACCTCCAGTCACTGGAACCATTAGACATCCTGTCACTCTGACCTGCAGGATATCTGGTTCACCAGAACCTTTGGCAAGTTGGATTTTGCCAGATGGAAATGTTGTGTGGCAAGGATTAGCTGTATCAGGTGGATTGAAAGTACATTCAAATGGAAGTTTGTCTTTACTTACATCAACTCTGAAGGATACAGGGTATTACCGCTGCATTGCTGTCAACCAGTATGGTAGTGACACCATGTCAATGCAGCTGATATTAAAAACACAACAAATCTCTGCCCTTGAGACTACATTACACAGAGGACCCCAATCAGCTGCTGGCAGGTCAACAAAGATACCAGTAACTATTTTTGGGCAGATTGATGAAGGATCAGGAGATGAAGATAAGGAAGAGGATGAGAAAACCTCCACCGGTAAAAGGAGATATCCAACATCTCTCCAACAGCGCCCAAACAGACAATATCTAATTAAAAAACCACAAAGATATGGTCATGTTAGAGAGGGACATCTAAAAAGGATTGGAGGACCTGTTTCACCAAATAAGCAGAAGAAACACCGCTTTCAGAACAGACCCAGAGTCACCACAAAGAAACACAGGATAGACCCTCAGAAATGGGCTGATCTCTTGGCAAAGATTCGTCAAAAGACCACCAATAGCACCAATAGTCAAGCAATTGCAGAAGAAAAAACAACAACTCAACTTTTATTTGAAGAAAAAGATGAAGAAATTAGACAAGGAGGAAAGGGTAACAATAAAGACAGAAGTATATCTCATGGCTCACAGGAGGAAACAGAATCTGAAGGTTCTTCAGTTGATGATGCTGCTGTAAAAGAAGAACACCCACAACCCATTCAACCTCATGATAAGGATGCACAGATTATAGAAGCAACACAAACCATTGCAGAGATATATAATGTGTCTGAGCGGCCACATGTGAATCTAGAACTTGACATAAAAACACAGACAGAAGAAGAAAACAAACAAACCGTAACAACAGTAAACCCAGTGACAGAAACAGAGCATGTCACACTTACTTCATTATCAGGGGCAAATGGAATAGCTTCACAATCAGTTGTGTTGAATGAGAAAGTACCAAATCTAAGCCCTAATAGGATCAGGCCACAGAATCCTTTTCAGGGACTTTTCCCAAATCAGATTCTAAACTCCCGACCTCGAAGACCCTGGGACACCCGCAGGAAGATTGGAAAACATAGGCAAATTAACAGGCCAAAGATTCAGCCTGTACCCTCACAGCGTCCTCACTCCGACCCAATAAACTCAATAAACCAAGCAGTGACACTTAACTCAATTCCAGATAAAATCACAAAGTTGTTGTCCTTATCAACTACCACATTTCCACCTATTATGCTGACACTTGGAAACAATGTTAGAACTGCTATAAAAGGTGTAACTGTGACTCCTGTGTCGCCAACTGTTTCCGACCCTCATTTTATTACTATTTCAAATTTTGAATCACTCAGTCCCTCCTCTACAACCCCACACACATACACAGACATGATGATTCATTCAGACAAGAAACAAATAACTGAGGAGTCTACTTTTAACAGCGCACCAGCTCCCACTCATGCTACCATTATCATTTCAGAGCCGCACATGCCAGAACCCGATAATAGGACATTTACACATGCTGCATGGGCTCATACAGCAACACAAACAACCCTGGGCAAACATGCTGAGAGAACCCCGAGGAAACACAGCAAGGGGTTAGAGATGAATGTTTTGGGTGAGTCCCACTTTTCAATCACTCATTCTCTCACTGCTTCCTCAGTCCCCAGTGCATCTTTAACCACCACCAGTGCAGCAAAAATCATAACTACTTCTTCAGCTGCTCCCAGGAGAGCTAGTTATTTTGGCAGCACTAAAAGTACACCAGTCTCTACAACTAATGAGGACACACTCCCCACAACAACCACGGCTGCTATAATAAGTCCCACCATATCTCTTTCAACCCCCATTATCATTCCAATATCCAGCACTCCCAGACAGACTTCAGCTCCATCCACCTCAATGACTTCTACAATCACTTTGCCAACTACTTCCTCTAATATCTCTTCAACTTTGACCTCCGACACTTCGTTCAGGCCAATAATTACAAGGCTAAGCACCACTTCTAATCCTTCTACCAGCAAAAGTAGTTCTCCAGTTTCAATAAATGTCATCCCTAACGAGTCCATTTCCTCTTTTTCTACAACATCTACTGATTCCAAAACCACAATTCGAGCTACAACAGAAAGTATTTTGACCACAACACCTCCAACCACCACAAAACAATCTGCAGTTAAAACTATTTTTTCCACTACTACTACAACGGAATTAACAAGTACCAAAGCAATAACAAGAAACAATAAAGCAACTGGCCAGGTTGACCACCCTGCGAATGGTCAAAACAGGAGTCAATCACCTACTGATTGGAAGAACCACGGAGTTAATGATATTCCAGATTCACACAGAAGAAGTTTTCATCAGCCTTCCGCATCACTTCCTGCTTCTCCAACGGTATGTTTTCCTGCTTCACTTAAATTGTCATGTTGCAACTATAAACCATGGTACTTGATCAGGATTTTATTTTATGGATTAAAGAATATGAATTGGAAGTAAATTATACATTGAGAATACTGATAAACATATGGCACTATGAAGTAGAAAAACTAACCAGACAGTTCAGGGACGCCGTGGAAACGTTTGAAGTAGGATTACATTACAAACATATCACAGTCCCACTGTGACATGTGGAAAGTGTCACACACTTTCCATTATCCAAAAATGGAAAGTGTGCGACAGATCTCCAAAGCAATCTAGACATGGCTATTCACCTACTTACACAAGCCAAACAGTGAAAGGATTTCAGAAAGCAACCCCAATGTCTTTGTTACCCCCGTTGGAGCTGCAGAGCTCTGTATCATTCTGCAAGAATGGGCAAGAGTTTTTGAATTAAGATGTACAAACCAGTTGAAGATATTATCTGGTTATTTGCACTTAAAAGTAGTCCCAGCATAGTTCCAGAGGGACTGGGAATACAATTTATATAATTTTATTTATATAAACATTTTGATATAAATTTATTACCCATGAACCTTTGGCACAGGTTTTTAAAATAGTGTAATATTTGCTTTTTTCTTTTGTTTTATGGTTATAAACACAAATTACATAACACTACAAGAACAACATCAAATTTCCTAACCTCTATTTTTTGTTCATTTGTGAAATTATTCCAAACCTTTCCACATTTCTTATTGCTGCATTACCGAGTTTCTCATTTGATTAGTAATTCTTTATATGCATATTGTAACAAACTATGCAGTTCTTAAATATAAAATGGAAACTAACAGTCAGTTCTTTAAGAGTGTTGACCTAGAAAAACTCACACACACGCACACACGCACACACAAAATATCCAACCGTGAAAACCCCTGAGGGAAAAACTTAGCTGGAATGCACAACAAATCAAAAAACAATCTAATTTGTCCCCACATGACCGTCTGATAAAATCCAAATGAGGTTCATCACTACTCACTTATATAATGAATTTTTAAACCTCATACTGTGATCTGAAGAGGAAAAAAAAAAAAAAAACATGTGGCTAAAAATCTGAAGTCAACAAACATGATGTTTTTCAAAGCTCAGTCTTACAGGATTTCAGTAATCAATCCTTAATTAATAGCCAGTAGTCTGCTGTCTATCAAACTAAAAATAAATCTTTCAAAGAGCACAAAGAAATTGAAATGAACTTGCTGACTATACAATTATTTGTTCCCAGATACTGATTTTATATGGGATGTATTAATGGAAGGTTTTGGAGTATTTAATTACAGTGAGTACTGCAAAATGTATAGTATTACTACCTACTTTATAGTGCTCACACAATTATGTTCATTAAATGCATCTGTTGTTTACAAGTTCAAAGCTGCAGCTCCTCTCCTCATGTTCACTCCATCTTTGGCCCATAAACATCAACAAAAAGCAATCAGGCAGTAAAAAAATCCCTGTGTAACTCGATTGCTTTAAAGGTTGTAGCTTGAGCTTTCAATTAATATCCACCATAATCAAGTTCAAAGCAAAGGTTAAAGCAAAGGCCTAAATTACCAACATAGGACTTTACAAAGCTGAACTGCATCTCTACCACCTGTGCACACACTGATATTTAGCAGACACAAAGACACACCTTGAGAGGAAATTCTGCAGCTCTTTTTATTTTGAAGTCATCAAAGTTTGCCTCTAAGTTTACCGACTGTTGCTTTTTGATTATGTAAAACCAGACTCTCAATCATTTGAATTTCTTTCTTAGACCGGAATCCAGTTCCTACATTATTATTATTATTATTATTGTTATTATTATTATTATTATTATTATTATTATTATTATTATTATTACAACAGACACTCTAAGTGAGTGCTGGTTGGAGACAAGGCTTTTGATTTTTCTATGAGATGTTTTTATTTTTGTCATCTGTCTGGCAATAACAAATCCTTGTCTTTGTATCATGTCTGTTTGTGTTGCAACATAGTAACAGAATTGTATATTGTTTATTGACATACAAAACCCACAAATTTCTGTTGAACTACTATATTTTAAGTGTTACAGTGTTACTTTGGTGCTTGAAAGTTTTATTTATTAGATTCACTCGTCTTACTTATCCACTGCACAGGTTCAAGTTGTTAGATCTAGCCCAAGGATGGCAGACCCTCACATCCGCACCATGTCAGTGCCGGCAGGCAGCTCTGTAAACCTGGTGTGTGAAGTTCAGGGAGAGCTAAAACCTTCAATCACATGGACTAAGGCTGCTACAGGTACACACCAAACAGAGGACATGCACTCACACACAAATATGCTCCATACCTTTCTCTGGAGAAGTTTTAAAACTAGAGACAAGGCTTATTATTTGACTCTGTTATACAGAAAACCATTAAATATCACAATTTCACTCTTTGATAGAAACTTTTCTAATTGCTTAAGCCTGCAACACGTTTTGGTACGGCAGAGCAAATAAAAACTTATTTTACTATGATATAAAAAAAACCCATTAACACCAAACATTATACACTAGCAAGCACATAATAGGCTTTTCTCTGGCTTGCCATGTGGGAAAAACACTGCAAGCAAGTAATGGAACATTTTCTGTACTGCACCACTGACTTCACTTCAAGCTGTGCCATTCATTGTGCCCATATTTCTCCTTTCTTGCTCTGGAACTTTTTCCCAAATTTGTCTCTGTTCTTCCCACCCCTGCCTTCTCATTACTGTTTTCTCTTTCTGCCTTACTGCCTCACCCCTTTGCCTTTCTTTCAGGAGCAGTGATGTCAATCCACTCCAGGGCTCAGCGTTTTGAGGTCTTGCCAAATGGCACCCTTGTTATCCAGAAAGTACAGGTGCAGGACAGAGGGACATATATCTGCAGTGCGAGCAGCTTGCTGGGCCGCGACAGGTGGGAATGCTGATTTTAGAAATGAATATTGATGAGCTTGTCTGGATAGCATACCATTTAGAACACAACTTACATTATAATCAGTTTTATTCATCGAGGCATATGGTAAGAAAAAAAAAAGCAACAGTGCCTCCAACAGTGGTTAAGGCTCCTAAAACCTTTTTACATGTTATCATGTTACAACTGCAGACATTTTATTGAGATTTTGCAAAGTAGAACAACATAAAAAATAATAAACAAAAAATAATAAATTGTAATGAATAATTTTAATGTGGGAGGGAAACAGCAGTCTGTAACATTTATTAAAAATAAAATCGAAAAAAACATGTTGTCTTGTACATTTATGTGTAGAGTCCTTAACTCAGACACCACAAAATAAACTTTATTGCTACCAGTTACTTCAACAGTAAATAGAGCTATGCATTATTTATTCTTATTATAAATATATTTTTACTTTGTTACATAAATGAACAAAGAGTGTCATATAAACTGAGGAACATATCAGAAATTCACACGAAAATAATAATTGTTACAATTAATCCAAAATAATACATTATTCCAATTTACTTGGACCATATTCCTGTAGAAACTCCACAGAGATGTGTTCCGTTTGAAAATTTGTGGAATAACTTAAACATAGCTGCTCAGATTGTCTGGTTTGACTAATCTTGAGCTATTTTGTGAAGAAGAATTAGGAAAATGTAACATTTTTAAATGTACAAAATCACATTTAACCTAGATGACTGCAGTTGTAATCACAATGTCTCGTCACTGTACAAAGTATTTACTCAGAAAAGTGTGGTATGGTATGAAAAGCATGCCACACGTTTCAGACCATTTTTTAAAAATAGGCTTTGAAAAAGTGCAAATTGGCCTATTACACAAAATCCCAGTACAATAAATCAAAATCTGAAGTGAAAAGGTGACAACTTGTTCAGCAAATCAAAGGAATTCAATATTTTTAAAGTAAACTATAGTCATTATTTGTTACTGCAAACATAATGAGAAACTGATTTATACTCCTCCAGCAAACAGAACTCTGTCAATATCTTCCTTTTTTCTTTCTTCCTCACTAAGTCATATAAACATTTATATATTTAGATACCTCCCAGAATCCAGAGTACATTTAGAGAATGTGTATGTTAAAGATTCTGAATTGTGTATGTGTATTCTTCTTATTTACAGGTTGCTCACCACACTAGAAGTCTGGACTCGCCCGCCTCATATGCAGCTGATGCCTTACAAGGAAGTTACCATTCATCAGGGTGGCCAGGTTCACTTGGAGTGCCAAGCAGATGGCGTTCCAGCCCCTCTGCTTTCTTGGGTTCTGCCTAATCGTTCTACCTTAACCTCCTCTGGCACCTCTTCTAATCGAATCCATATGGACACAAATGGGACCCTTCACATCTCGGTAACATTACCCACTGACCGAGGAGTCTATCGTTGTGTGGCATCTAACTCAGCTGGTGCAGCCAGCGCCTCAGTGCGTCTCCATGTGTCCTTGTTGCCCCCGGTTATTCAGCAACCCAGGGAGGAACACCTGTTTTTCTCTGTAGGTTGGCCTGTTTATGCTCACTGCTCTGCCCGAGGGGCCCCAACACCAATTCTGCGTTGGCGAATTCCAGATGGGACGCTTGTTCGACCATCCCAGTTTCTTAATGGAAATCTCTTTGTCCTGTCAAATGGGACACTCCATATTCGCAATGTGGGATCAAAAGACACAGGGGATTATGAGTGTACTGCTAGTAATGCTGTAGGAAATGCTAGGAGGACAGTGACAGTAACGGTTAAAGATGGGGAAGCAAAAGCCAAAACAAACTCCAATTCATCTTTTGTCAACAAAGTCAGAACATCGGTAATCCCAAGCCAAACCTCAACTGCTTTCAGACCAAGTAAATTCTCTCCTGTAAATTCCTCAGACAGATCTAACAACGTGTCGATGAGCTCAAGCCCTTTTAACTCTTCCTCTAGCTCATCTCTTGAAATCAATAAAACTGTAAAACCTTACCCATCACACTTTCCTGACATCAAAAAAACAAATCCCTTCTCTGTTTTCTCACCTTCTTCGGTGCCAACAAATAACACCAAAGTATCACCCAGAGGAAACAGCACAAGAGTTGCTTCTTCTTTCCACGCTAGAGGAAAAATCTCAACTGTTTTGCAGCCTCAGCCTGTCTCCCCCTTCACTAAAGCCCACATTGTCTCTACATCACCCTCTGCTACTACTGTTAACTATGAGGGGACTTTGAATCTTTACTGCTCTGTAAATGGAAACCCTACCCCAACCATTCTATGGAGGACTCCCACCAGAAAGCTTGTGGACATGCACTACAGGTACATTTGCTAAGTGTGTGATGAAATCTTTGTTAATTCTTTCAATGTAGCCTGTGTGTAATATATCTTTCTGGCCTTTTGTTTGTTTGTCATTCATTATGTTGACTTTAAGTTTTGACCAACGTGTAAAGGTGCATCCTAATGGGACTCTGACAGTGCGGGCAGTAACAGAGAAGGATAGTGGAGACTACCTGTGCATTGCACGCAACAAGGTGGCTGATGATTATCGAATTCTGCGTGTGTCTGTGGTCACTAAGTCTCCCAGGATTGACCCAAAACAGTCAATCAATCAGATGGTGTCATTTGGAAAACCTCTAAAGGTAAAACTAAATCATTATCTTTTATGTACAAAAAAAGGTATTATACTTTTATTTGTTTCAGTGGAAATTCTGTGTACTTTTTGGACTAATGAACAAAAATATTAGGTCATTGTTACATATGACTGGTGATCATTTATAAAGTTCTAAATAATTATCTTACAGAGAACTATACATCATGAGGGGAAAATAGCGCTGGATCTGAAGACTAAATATTTTCTAATTTGAAGAAATGAAAACTGGATATGTTATATAACTGGCTTCTGTGAATCACAAACCGCTGCCTTAAGGGAACAGTAATGCACACATAAATATTTAAGGCCTCAGTGAAAAATAATCTCATGAAAGTTTCACGCAATAAATGAGATTTTATATGATAATGAAAATGCGTTACCCTATATTTCAATAGAGGTAGTTATGAGCTCCTAGAAAGATCCTTTAAGAGCAATTTAGTTGATAACCAATTTGATAAACATCAAGTTATTTAACATACTGTGATATTGCATCCAATAATGATAAGGAAAAATATACTTTGGATTCTATACAGGTAGACTGCCAGGCCTCTGGATTGCCTCATCCAGCTGTGCATTGGATGTTACCAAATGGAACCACTGTGAAGAGTGAGCTGTTTCAAGAGGATCATAGGGGTCAAAGACGGCAACATACTGTTTTTGACAATGGGACGTTACTGATTCCAGCAGTTGGTGAAAGAGATGAAGGCGAGTATATCTGCTATGCAGAGAACCAGGCAGGCCGAGATACCATGAAGGTATGTGACACTATTTATTTTTCAGAAAAATTATTTCATTACCTGATTGTTATTACAAAGTTGTCTTTGTTGATATAAAAGTGATTATAAGACCTAACTTTTTTCAGGTCAAAGTAAAGGGCATAAAGACAACCCCTCCAACGTTCACTAATGGCAGAGGCCACAATTTCATCAAAGTGCAGCCGGGAGAAACTGCTACAATTCCCTGCAGGACAACAGGAGATCCTGCCCCAACGGTTACTTGGTTTTCTCCATCATTCATTGTTATCCCACAGAGCTTGGGATCAGGCCTTTCTTCTCAGCGAGTTGTGGTCATTTCCGATGGAACCCTGGAAGTGCGTTCCGCCCAAAAGAGTGACTCTGGAAATTACACTTGTCGAGCAAGCAACTCAGCTGGGATAAGGAGCATGGTGGTGACCTTGGAAGTGGAGACTTCTAGCTCTGGAGTTATAAGAGAAGTGGAAAAAGAACAAGATTGGAGTGTAAAGAAATCTGATGGCAATCACAGAGTCATTACTGCAAGAAAAATCAACCTTGGATCTAATGTAACTGCAAGCAAAAGCAGAAGCAATAACAGCTATAGTGATAATAGTAGAAAAGTAAACACGGATCCTAATACCATTCTCAACTCAGTATTCAGTGGCTCCAGTCCAAGACGTTACAGCCAACATGAGTTTAAAAGTCCTGTTGGAGGATTTTCAACACGATGGGGTAATACTGGGATAATGGCTAGGGCAAATGAGGCACAGAGTACAGGCATTAAGAGAGACAGTACTGGATTAAATAGAAACACACCTAGCATTCAGAGTAGAAGTGGTAATGTAGATCGCAGCCAAACCACAGGTAGAGGAGAAAGTACTGAAAGAAATCCTGAGATGAATAATTATGAAGTAATTTCAGGAAAGAAAAGTAATGACGCTAATTCCAGTAGAGACAACAGGAGGTTAACTGTTATTTCAACAAATGGCCAAAGTATTAGTGGTATTTTGTCAGGTAATGGAGCTGTTACAAGCACTCAAAGAGAACATGTTTTCAACAGGAACAGTCATGCTGGGGGAGGTAATGATAACAGAGGAAATAGAGTTTCTTCAAGTAGTAATTCAGACACACATCTGGGTGGGAGAAAAATAACAAAGCACCAAGCAGTGAAAGGCCAGGCTGTCACTTTGCCATGCCCATACCAAGGTTATCCTCCACTTCGTTTGGCCTGGCTTCTGCCTGGAAATGGCATGCTGTCGGCTCCTTACTATGGCAGCCGACTCACTGTGCATCGGAACGGCTCTTTGGAGTTTCGAGATGTACGGGTGAGTGACGGTGGAAATTTGGTTTGTGTTGCAAAAACTGAAAGAGGTGACGCTTTAATGCGAGTCCAGCTTGAAGTGTCAGAACCAGTGGTGGATGTAAGATCCCAACAAGGCAGACAAGTGGAAAATGTACCGCAGAAGGGAAATTTAGATACAACTCAGTCTTTACCCACAAAGACAGTATCGCCTCTACAGCACTCACAGAGGGACCTTGATGTGCCAGACAGGTCTCACTCTATAAACTCTTCACCATTGTCTGGCTCAGTCTCCAAACCCTCAGTAAGCACCAGCACCACCCCTCTGGTGAGCACCATTAATGGAGAGACTATAAGACTGCATTGTCCTGCCTCTACAACCAGGGGCTCTGTTTTATGGACAATGCCCAGTGGCAAGATACTATCCAGAGGTGACAGTGGTGATCTAGGACGTTATGAGGTGCAAGAAGATGGAACACTAATAATCAAACAGGTTTCTGTGTTTGATCGAGGCAGGTACATTTGCAAGTTTTCCAGTCATGACTCTTCCTCAGTCTCAGTCACCACAGTTCCTGTCATTGTCATCGCTTACCCTCCACGCATCACAATCGGTCCCTCCCCTGTGACCTACACTAGAGGCGGTGTTGCTGTGGAGCTGCCCTGCATGACCATAGCTACCCCGCGAGCAACAGTTAGTTGGGAAACACCAGAGCTTGTACAACTGAGTGTGATGGGTCAGCCTCGTATATATGGCAACCTCTACCTGAGTCCTCAGGGTTCATTGGTGATACAAAACCCCACACATAGGGACACAGGATTTTACAGGTGCATCGCCAAAAATGTAATCGGAGTAGACAGCAAGGCAACCTACCTGCATGTTATATAACAGGATAAAGCAGCTATATAAACACTAACCCTTTAAAACTTGATGCAGAGAAACAGAGACTCAGCCTTTAATAAAAATAAATATTTGTATTTCCTGGGTGCCCAAAGGGGTATGTCAACATTTCTATAAAGGCTTATTTCAATTAGGACATCAACTCCTGGTACTCCACTGAGGTAACAGATATGTGTAAATTGTCAAGTGTGTGTCTGTTAGAATGAATGGTGTAAAATTTAAAGTGTTCTACTGCATCAGGATGGGGTACATTGGTTCTTAAAAGTGATCACACCCTTGTTAAAATAGTGGGTTTTTGTTCTGTGAGAAACAACAGAATAAAAAAAAAATGTTTGAAAAATGTTTTACAATTATAATGTGAGATGTCCAGATATTCTTTTGGGGAAAAATACAAGACATGAAATATCAAAAAACACTTTGTTTTGTAAGTGTCCATATCCTAAGTTTCACCTTTTGATTCAAAAGCAACATTTACTCTTATTTTGTTGGAGTTTGTCACCATGTTACATAAATAATGAAGACATTTCTTATTCATGGCCCTCTTCAAGACATGATACAATATGGATCTATCTATGAGTGTTCGCATTTAGGAAATTTGAGTAATTGCAACTTTTTATTTGTATTATTTCCCTCTCAAAGTATTAGTTTTTTTTTTTAACATGAAACGTCACTTTAAGAGACAGAATTTGAAATGATTACTTTTACTTAGATTTCAGTCAGTGTGTACACTTTTTACATTCACTTTACTTCACTTGTGAAGTCACTGATATTTGTTTTTCATACTTACTAATTGTTAAAGTTAAATTTCTTCTTTAATTCAGTTTAAATCATTTAATTTATTGAGAAATTATGTTAGACTGCATTCAGTTAATGCTACTGTGACATTTAGCATGCAGACATTTGTGAATTTTTATCAGAACAGATGAAGCATCTGCATAGTGTGGCATGATATTAAGTACATTTTTATTAGATTGCTATTGTGTCAGTTGAACAGCACTGGGACAAATTTCATAACACTGATGAATTTATGTGCTATAGATGACACCTCTAATTTGTTAAGCATAAGCAGAAGGATTTTTCAGTGTATCTAAACGTTATGTGGGTGTTTGAATGAGCTGGAGATGATATTCAGAACAGTATCAAGCAGCTACGAAAGAAATGCTGAAGCATTATTTTATAGGAATACATTTTCTTATTCAATTTGAACATAAGGTAGATACATAGTACATTGACAGTTGTCTAACTTAGAGACTTAGAGACCTTTATCTGTAGCCATGCTCTGACTCCTTCCAGGAAGCATGCAGATGTGAATCTTTTCAAAAAAAGAGAAACCAAATTATGCAGAAGTATAGCTCTGGCCTACAATGTCTAATTGGAAGCTCAGCTAGTTATCTAAAGCTTTATGACAGTCACTGATAATACAGATTGATCCCAACATCAAACTATAAAGCATTTTTCTTCTTGTCTTCTCTCTGCAATTTGATGCCAAATGAACTGTTATTCTAAGACCCTGTTTGATTTGATGTAAACTTTTTTTTAATCTTATCATTTCAAATGTCACAAAATAGGACACAAAATTAAAACAAAACAGAGATAAGACAGGTTAGCTTAACAGCTTAGCTGCTTGGTATTGTATTTTTTATTTGCTGTCTATACGTTGAACTACATGTGTCACGCCCAGGCACGGATGGACACAGGGACTGAACAGTGAATACCAAACCAGACGTTTATTGGGAAATTGCTTATTCTTGGTCAGACAGGCCAGGGTCAGAACCGGGAATCCAAATCGGGATCAGGCAGTCTCAGGGTCAGACAGACAGGGGGTCGAAGCCAGGAGGTCCTTATCCAGCGGGGAGAGTCAGGGATCGGGGACAGGAGAGGAATCTAGGTAGAGACAGACAGGTTAGATACTGTGCAGTTAGCTCCAGTTACTACAGCAGGCCTGAAGGTGTTTACCGCTGAGGGTTTCACAACAATCTGACGCCGTGCAGGAGGAGTTCCGTCCTAATATGGCAGCAGCTGAGGATCAGGCGGATGCCGATCAGGTGCGAGTGGTCACAGCTCAGCGGCAGCTGTGACAACATGAATTTGTCGCCATGGTGCAGACGTAGCAAAAAGTAACACAAAGGGGCTGCTGTTATGGCAATCTTGAGCAAATCTCATGGTGGAGTATTCAGTGTGAAGAGCTAAAATTTACAAAAACCTCTCCAGGACTTTCAAAATGTTGTCAGTTGGAAATGGGATTTGCTACAAAACTTATCTAATGGACTATTGTTTTGATTGAAATACATATATCTAATTATGTGGATATTTTAATGAGTCTGTGCACAAAGTCAGCAGCTGGTCTTTTCTCAATTATTTTTTTTAATGTTTCCATCATTTCATTAAATTATTTGTTTTGTAAAGACTCACTTTCTGTTACGTATTTTTGTACTAAATGGAGATAATGGTTTTAGTATGTATGTTGGATGTCTTACTATCCATGCTATGAATTCTTGCTTTGTTTTTAACAGGATTAATTTTATGAAAAAAAAAACCATAAATAAACAAGCTGTTTACCCTTTGTGGTTTTACAGTTTTGGTCACAGATATTGTGAAGTGTTTGTATGACTGAGTGAGAAAAGAAAACACCTTGTATGAGGGCAAGTGGGAGGATTCAAACCTTTTCGGGAGAAATTCTGAGAACATAAACTCCTGATGCTTAGCGCAGCTGTTTGGCCAGGAAACAGGTTCCTTACAGTAGATGAAACACATGTTCATGACATCATGTTCTCCTCTTTAGGAAATGTAATAAAACTCTGCAGCCCTTGCAACACCCCTTCCACTCTGCATGATTTCCCACCTGGTTTTTATCTTCTAATTACAGAAAATATCAACACTTTCAGTTAATCATGCCTGATATGTACATTGTAAAATTGTAGACCTTTCCTCACTTTGTCATATTCGGGACTCTGTTAATTACCTGTTCTTTAATTTCTTTATATCAGACCGCAGTGAGTTGCAATTTTTAGATCCCTTAGCCTACTTCAAGATATCAAACAGGTCCTATTTAAGACTATTTCTATCTGAAATAGCTGTTAATGATTACAATCATTTACTTTTTGCAGTAGTAACAGGTTTAACTCATCAAGGCTGCCTTTAATGTTAAATATTTGTAGTGCATTTATTTTTTAACTCTGTTGGCAATGATGATGGCCAAAAAGACCATGCCCAGAGATTCTGTTGTCATTTATTCCAAAGGTGTTCCCTTGGATTGAGGCCAGTCAAGTATTTCCTCACTAAACTGCTTATTCCACATTTTTATGGAATTTGATTTGTGCACTGGTGCTCAATCATGTTGAGACAGAGAAGGGCCATTCCCAAACTGTTCTCACAAAGCCAGAAGAATAAAATTGTCTTCGGATGATGAAGCAGTAAGAGTTATTTTCACTGGAACTAAGGAACAGAGTAAGACTTCTGGTCTATACCATTCCCTTTATGGCAAACTTTGAGATACCTGGATTGGATTTGGAGAGGGAAGTCAGACATTTTGGATATCTGGACATAACTGATTACTTGAATGATGGAAAAGCTGGCTTGCAAGAAAATGTTGCAGACCAAATGGAAAGAATTCTGACAATCTCAAGTAATTTTTTATTTCACAGCAATCTTTGTCTGATGATTTTGTCATGCATTGTAGTCAGAAAGTAATGAAAATAAGAATGTGTGATGAGCATTTAATAACGATCATTAAAAACATTACATATAAACACATAGAGAACAGGACATGGGAAATAGGTAGAGTAACAGGAGGAACCGGCAAAGAAAACTGAAAATCAGGAAGCATAAATACTGAAGGAAGGTTTGACAAAAACCTTGGATGCAGGTAAGCTTAAGGAGGGGGAATGTAGAACAGCTTCGAGAGGAAAGTGCTGAATTGAGGTAAGAACACTTTTCAATACAGAAAACACAAAGGCACTTTAACTAAACACAAAGGGGAAAAAAAACTAACTCTAGACAATAATCTACAATGTGAAATCAGAAAACATGAACAGTAGCAATACACACAAATATACAAAGGGAAACCAATACACAAACATGTGTGGGTCATGACAGGGTCTGGTTTTGTAAACTTTATAGTAATGAATCTTCCAGGAATATCCGTGATTAAGTCTGAAAAATTTTACTTAAGAACATTTCATGGTTTCCTACAAACTGCAATTTTTAAACCAAGTTTAACTGAATGTAAACAAATAAAGACTGTTTTGTGAAACATCAAAACTTGCTCCACATAAAATTAACAAGTGTGCATAAGCATTAAGTTACTATTGCTCTGATGTTACTTGTCTCTTTCAATTGGTTTTCCATTTTCATCTTCAATTTAATCTTGGAAGAGAAATGTTCCCAAATGTCTTAGTGTTGGAGTAAAATAAACAATAGCTGAATTGGCCAAACTGTTCTCTCATGGCAACTAGTCAAAGTATGTGAAACTTCATCAGTGCAGACCTCAGGTCTGTTTAGTGTAACATTTGGATGCATTATTAGTAGTTCATTGCTGTCACTTTTTAGTAGTATTGATATAAATTCTGTTGAAGTGGCACATATGGTATGTGCAGAATATGTTGCATTTTTAAGCTGGAATGCTTATGTCACAGAGCTTTAATATGTCTAAAAGATGTTTGTCAGTGTTTCCAAGCTGGATTCACAGTAACAGATGTGTAAGAAGGTGGAGCTTTCTCGTTATTTCCACAAACTTGCATAACTTTGCACACAAACCAAACACCAAACATAATTACACTGTGATATTATTTGGACTATGTACTGAGAAAAGGCCTGCTGAGTTTTGTTGTTGTGAGGAACTTCTGCCGCTTCTTTTTTAATTGTACTGAGGGGAATAAGTGGCAGTCCGTTTGCAACTCTATCTAGAAGTGCTTTATGCAAAGTCTCTAATAACTTCCACATCTCCCTATCTCTGGACAAAGTGCCTTGCAATCAGCTCAAATTAAAGTACTTTCATTGAACCTGCTGATGCCAAGACAATGAGTGTTGTTGATTAACTGAAATGCTGAAAAGCAAAACAATTATACGCTCTCCAGAGATGAAGCTCATTGATGTCAAGTTTTTCACATGCGGATAAAACACAGCTAATTAGAATCATTGCAACACACAAGCCAGTAAATTAGACAGTTTGTATGAATTGTGAATGTAGGAGGTGTTGAAGGGGATGTAGATCAGGGAGGCAACACAAGAATATTGTTTTGTGACCCAGTTTGAATGAGACAATATGATTTAAATTATCATAATGTTCTAATTCATTTTTTAAACTGACTTTATTGCTGATTTTTTTTCATCCAGTCTTTGATTCAGCTTGGTTGTGAAATAATGGCTCTTTCCACTCTGCAAATGTTAAAAGACATAAAGTGTTTGTTTTTGCATCCAATTTGCTTCCCCCTCAGCATCTGACATGAGAGGATAAGGAATGAGTACAATCCTGGCTGAACTAACTTGCCTGGAAATGTGTGCCAATAGGCATGACTTCAGCCACAAGAAGCTCTGAGTTCCTGTCACATGTGTCATGTTGACTCCACATCAGCAGCAAACCATCTGTCAGTAAAAGCACTTTCAGCATTATTAGAAGTATCTGCACATGTTTTCTAACTACCTACCAAATCTGGTCAAGTAAGTGAATTAATTAGATTTTCATTTACTCCTTTTGATTTACCACCCAGTGACAAGACATGAATTTAATTAACAAATTTGTACATTTAAAGCCAGGTTCAGCTCTTCAGAACATTATTGTCCTTCAATGTAGAGCTAGGAAAGACAACTAATGTTACAAAATGATATAGTCAGTGAATCTGTCAAGAAAATGTAAAAGTACACATAGCAGTTTGCACAAAACATCAATTGCTGCTATATCTGCTCAGCTTAATCTGTTTCACATCATCAGCCAGACATTATTCATGCCTGCTAAGTCTGGCACTTCAACAGGACACATGTCACAGTCCACCCTACTTTTATGAATGAGTCACAGAGAAAAGTCATTCTTCATCAGCACTTTACAATAAAGTATTTTCTCTCAGTACTTTTTATGAGTGATAATCCATAAATAAAATTAAATTACTAAAGAAACTGTTGCATTACTGACTGTCAGAAATGCTATTTATCTTTAGAAGATAAATTGCACCCACTCAGTCCCTTTAAACAACATCATTAGTTTTAATGTTTTTTTATTTATTTATTGAAAGCAAAAGACTTGCTTATTCCATCTTTGTTTTCCTTGGACTTTCCCTGCTCTATTACATTGATAACAAGATACACTGAAAGTATGTAAATCAACTTGTTTAACTCAGAACTAAGTACCTTCTAAATGGATTCCAAGCATTGATCTAGAGTTCAGACCAATCTGTTTCAGATGGTCACTAATAGCGTCCATGATTAAACTCATCTAAAAATCCCTTAGGTTGTTGTAATTGCTGCAATTTTATCTTCTACAAACAGAATTAGCCATAAAACTTGTGCATAATTTACACATTTTTTGGCCACTTAATTAACAACGGCTTTTGATTACTTTATTGCATCCATTGGTGTAACACGTCTATTTTTTAGTGACAGATTTAATTAATTATTTGGGATGTCCATCCCCTGATTTAAATAGATTTCTTAAAGTCAGCCTTTTCTCTGAATTGTTGGCTTGTTTTTTTGTATTTATACTGATTGACCAATGAATGGACCGTCCAGACACATGTCTCATTTGAGACCCACTCACTGCAATCAGGTGATCTCCATTTCACTCATTGTGAGACTACAAACCCCAACTGGCTGGACATCTATTGAATAAGGTAAGTTACTTTATAAGGGGTGCATATAGATCACTTGTTTTATATTTTGTATAATTGTCATTGATTCATTTAGTAGGTGAATACTTTTTCATGGGCTTTGTAAAAATATCTTCAGCCCATGGCTTTAGATTCATAATTAATGCATTATGCTTTAAATCATTTCAAGCAAACCAGCTCTGAACACTTTGTGGCTAAAAGAGCATTTGAGCAACACTCATCTGTAACCACACTTATTATCCAGTATTTTGCGTGTGAACATTTCACATCATTTTACAGTCATATACTGTGTACCCATGGGTATGATTTGTTTTTTCCTGCACGTTTTTGCAGATAACAAGAAAATATTTCTCTTGACTTTATGTTATAAGATATCCACCTCTGTAATAATGAGGCAACATGATGACAAAAAATTAAGCTTGAATGTGTGGGAGGAGAATGTGTTTGGACCAAGACTTTAGTTTGTAGCTCTGACTTTAGTCAACTGTTGTCCAAAAAATTTCTCAGCTGTGCCTTGATGGGAACACAGATGGCAAATGAAATTATGAGGTTTTAAGGGAGATACATTGTAAGCACGCACAACTAATACTCTGACACTTACAGAGATCACAATAACATGATTAGGCCTTCCATTTGAAGGCCTAATAAGGAAATGTCAGGGTAAAGCATTGTAATGTCATAAGCAGTAAAAATAATTCTCACCTCCTTGATGCAGTGATATCATCTCATAGCAGGTTTTTCTGCTCTTTAAACACACTAGTGGTTCAAG